ATTGTGTGTAAATCACAGTTTTTCCATAACGAACATCATATTTGAGCACGAGGTCAATGATTGACTTTGTAGTTGTGTCATCTGATCGAGAGAGAGAGAGAGCGAGAGAGAGAGAGAGAGAGAGAGAGATAAGTAGTACCCACCCAATTAGGACAAAAAAAACAAGTAGAAATTAAATTATAAAATAAAAATATTTCTAAATATATAACTTTCTTTTTTTAGATGTGCAACATAAATATTGTATCTTTACTGACGAGTAAAGCAGTTTTGTTCATCGTTGGATTGGTGACGTATTTCTGCCCTGGGGTGCAAAAATCTTTGGCCATTGACTCTCATTCAAAGTTGTACATGCGCAGTTGCTCCTCCACAATGCAAAAGGATATTTGAGCTTGGGGCACAGCTCTCCTGTGGCCAGAGCTGACAGAAACTGTTGTCACAGTGGTAGTGTGGCGATTGACAGGTCGAGTCGCAGAAGTCTGAGACGATTTGAGAGAGAGAAATTGTACAAGAAAAATTTAATTAGCTACCTTAAACCAAACGTATCAAAAGGTGAAAACATTTGGACCTTATGGAGATGTTACACTCAGTCTTTTTCCAGGTTCTGGTTTAGCTGCCAGGCTTGGCTAGCTGCAAGCAGCGAGGCTAACACTTTATTCTGCTTGCCCTGCTCTCTTTTAAAAGTCAGGATCTGACCCAGCATAGATAAAGACAGGTAGGACTAATATAAAGCATTTTTTAGAAAACAAAGTGAAGCATGAACAATCTGGAATTCACATGGAAAATAATATAATAGTGTGCTTTTTCTAGGTGTTTGTTAACTTGCATAGTTGATCTTAAATAAACACATTCTCAGAAAATAAACATTAAAAAGATTAATTGACTAGATTCCCAGTACCTGCTCTGACCACCGAGCCCCACAGCTACAAAATTTTACTTTGGGTATCCTATGCCTCTGCTTATCTGAGATTTTTCTTGGCCTTCCACTTAGGGCCCTTACTTGAACTGGACATGTGGTCTTTCATTTCCTTACTATGTTCCTGAAAGTAAAAACTGAAGACTCTGAGATAGAGATTTTTTTATCCTTCTCCTATGATGCCGAACAATCTTTGTTTTCAGGTCATTTGTTTTGACACTTCATTTATGCCTTTGCCAAGAGGAGAAAACGTGCAATTGGCCACCTCAAAAACCCCATCTCATAGTTGGATTTCTCTATATGTAGTTAAAGGGTCAATTGTATTACAATAATCAGTGCTAAAGGTATTGAAATATATACCATTAAACAGTGCACACATTTGTGCACCTGCATAGTTTTGTTTGTATGATTATTGTGAACTTTTAGAAAATCTTATAAACTTCATTGCACTTCTCAAACACGATAGTTTGTATCTGCTTTATTATATATATATAACTGACACTGTTGATCCAACAATCAAATAATTTATATTATTTATAACTTTTTGTTTTCACAAACATTTTATAACGTTACACAAGCTTTATGTATTTTTTTCTACTAGAGTATTGAGTCCCAGTTTTCACTAAGCAGAACATTTATAAATGCAATTTTTAACACAAAGTTATAACCACAAATAACTCTTCTTTCTACTGAACAGTTTATGAAAAAAATGACGTACAATTAGTGCGTCCCAATGACAGTATTGTTGGTAAGAACAATTTTTGTTATTGGAATAATTGCTTGAAACACTTGTGCTCACTTTGTTTGTATTTCTCCAAAGAAAAGGGCCTTTCCCAGTTGAAAGAACAGGACTTTCATTGGTAAATTAGGGGTAAAATTAGGGGTAAATTTCGTAAGTAACAACACATAGATATAGTTGACCCAACCCTGTTTTTGTTTCTGGAGAGCAGCAGAGAGAGGGCAAATCAAGTCAAATTTACCTTAAAACTTAAAAGTTAAACTTTTGTCATTCCTTAGTATCATACTGGATTGTTTGAAAAGGTTGAGGACATTTGCCTGATGGATAATTACATATAACATTCCAGAAAGGTTTTGGATCTTGATTGGTTTGAAATGTACTGAGATTTTGTGTTTAGTTCAGTTTAGTATATTTCAAACCAAACAAGACCCTCAAACAGAGACTAGTGCATCCTAAAGGAAAAAAAAACAGACGCCATATGAGCAGATGGGTGTCTGCAGTTCAATGCATTGAAGAATGCTCATATCTTTATATTGGAGAAACCAAACAACCTCTCCACAGATACACTGCTCAACACAGAAGAGCCACTTCCTCGGGACGAGATTCTGAGTTACATCTACACCTTAAAGGAATAGTACACCCAAAACATGATTAGCCTTCATTTTCTACTCACCCCCATGCTGAACAACACTCTGGAGTACTTTTTTGATATCTCAAATGCATCTGGAGATCTGGGAGGCTTCTTGCTGTCTGCTGACATTCAAATAATGGAGGTCTATGGTGCCTGAGACAGAAAGGTCCATAAAAGTCCACAAAAAACGTGTCAATATTCCTCCATACTGCTCGTCCAATGTATTCCAAGTGTCCTGAGTGGGTAGCATCCATAATTTACTCGAAACAAAGTCATTTAGAATGTTTTTAGAGCATAAACAGTAGTGTATAGGATTTCCTGAAAGCGCGCACATGCGCGTTCACGACGCTACGGAAGCCGGCAGACCAAACCAGATGAAAGTGCGCATTCAGCGTCTGCTCTGCCAATAATGCCGGCGTAGAAGAAGAAATGTGCTGTTTACCTGTGCAAAGAAAGAAACAACGAAAGAAAAAGGCCTGAGGACTTCAGTGTTGAGGAAGAGCATGAGTTCTTTGCCGAGCTGAATGCGCTGGTTTGGTCTGCCGGCTTCCGTAGCGTCGTGAACGCGCATGTGCGCGCTTTCAGGAAATCCTATACACTACTGTTTATGCTCTAAAAACATTCTAAATGACTTCGTTTCGAGTAAATTCTGGATGCTACCCACTCAGGACACTTGGAATACATTGGACGAGCAGTATGGAGGAATATTGACACGTTGTTTGTGGACTTTTATGGACCAGATGCATTTGAGATATCAAAAAAGTACTCCAGAGTGTTGTTCAGCGTGGGGGTGAGTAGAAAATGAAGGCTAATCATGTTTTGGGTGTACTATTCCTTTAAGGACAAAGAACATTCTTTTGAGGACCAGAATTTTTACATTTTGGACAAAGAAAATAGATGTTTTGAGAGGGGCGTACTGTTAAGAAAGAACAACCAACCTTAAACAGAGGGGGTGTACTCAGATTTCAGCTTTCAAAAAACCTACTATGCAGCAATAGAGTTGATTCTTTCCAGCTATTATCACAACCCTCACGGCATTACAGGGGAACAGAAGACCTCACCTATTCAGCCAGTACAATAAGTCCCCTGAATGACTCCCCTTTCAGAGACATAGACAGGTATGTAGCATTGGAGGCTAACAAAGAGGCCAAACAAACCCCATTCCAAAGCGATGGACCCGTTCATCTGTTTCTTTTTGCATGTTTTCTAAACAAAATCAGGGCTTTCTTGGGCTACTGTATAAAACCTGGAACTCAACACTATTTCTGACATTTTGAAGTACAGTGGATTGTTTTTCTAAACTTTTCTCTGGAGTTCTAAAATAAGTTATTACAACTTATGAAAATCAAATTTTTCATTACCATTCAACCTATTCTCATTATGAGTACGTATGAAATCGTACGAAAAGTTACGCACCGTAATTTCATACGTTTTGGACGTTATTTTCGTCGCATGCGCATCTGAAGCACCATTCACAAATCTAGAATATAAATTAAAATTAGCCCTAACCCTGACCCTAACCCTGAGATATAAAACAGCAAGCAACGTAGTTAGAGACATGAATAAGTGATGATTGCACTGTTTTTCCCAATTTTACGTTCGTCCGCGGATCTGCTTTTTTTTCTGTCTGCCAGCGCATTGCGCACTGATGTGGTTTTTTGAGGAAAAACATTCAGAACGTACGAAATAGTGTGCATAACTTTTCATACGATTTCATACGCACTGATAATGAGAATATGTTGTACCATTTGAAGCAAATATTGCAGTCTTAGAACACCCTGAGAAAGTAAGCTGGTTGAAGCTGTAATTTGCATTTTCAGTTCAATATTTATCTTGTTTACCTACAAGAATTATCAGAGGTTGAATCCTAAATGTATTTTGTATTGTATGTATGTATGTATTGTATGTATTTGTATTTTGTTTTCATTTATTAATCTAGTTTTATCACATTTTCTCAGTGAGTAATATGTCTTAATCTAAATTATGAGAAACTAGTAAAGAATTTAAATCAAGATAGAGTGCAATAGTTTGGATACCTGTTTTTATATTGTTTTATTTTAAATTCAGGGCAATTTTATTTGACACTTTATGACAAAAATATATTTTGATGAGCAGACTGAGTCCTCAGTAGTTCAAGGCCGATGCATTTATAAGCCTATTTTGTCTAAATTTATTTTGAGTTGGAAGTTGCCACGCTGTTCTTCGTATGTGGGGCCAAGTGAATCCATGTTAAATGGGTTCAACCTAGTAAACATTCGAAGCATTGTATTTAAGATGGATTTTTTTGGATATTAAGGGACTGGCATCCAGCTCAACTCAAATACCAGTTGCCCATATGAAGATGTTACTTGGATATAACGGAATATCTTTAGAAAAGATCCAAATGACACAAAACTCATATGGGTGAGTAGAACATGATGTAATAACGTAAAATCAAGGGGTCAATGTAAAAGGTAAAAAAAAAACTGCGTTCCCCTCTAAGTAAAAACGTGAGCTAAGAAAGAGCAGAAGAGTGCTGCAGTTCTGTGTCTTTGCTACAGGTTGCAGCATCCTTAGAAAACTTCAGAATGCCTCTTTAAGTAAATAATTAACAAATAAATATTGACAGTTGTTTATCCTTATCCTTACATGCATCATTTAGTTTTGTTACAACTATAACTTTAGATGGAGACCCAGAATTTTGTGTATATTATTGAATAAGTTGACTTTTTCTACAGGAACGGCACAACCAAATACAAGGACATAATTTCTAAGAGTATACTGAAACATCCAGGACCTCCTGCTGTCTACCAGGTGAAACCAAAGAAAGAAATTATTGGAACGCTGACCAGACTGACTGTTGGTGAAAGAAATTTAAACAAGACAAACAGAACCATCCTACTGGTTGGTGAAACAGGATCAGGAAAATCTGCCCTAGTTGACACTTTGGTAAACTACACCATGGGAGTGAAGATGGAGGATGAAGTTTGGTTTCAGATTGTAGAAGAAGAAGAGAAAGAAAGTCAGGCAGAAAGTCAGACCTCGGACGTAATTGTTTATGACATAGTTGGTTATGAAAAGGAAACACTGCCATTCTCTCTGACTATCATTGATACTCCTGGATTTGGAGATACAAGAGGACCCAAACACGATGAAGAGGTTGGTGAAAGGTTACTGGACTGGTTTGGATCAAAGGATGGAATTCATGAAATCAATGCAGTAGGTCTGGTGATGAAGACGAGTGATAATAGACTAAACAAACAACTGCTTTATATTTTGGATTCAGTGATGTGTCTGTTTGGTAAAAACCTTGAGGACAAGATTCAATTCAATTCAATTCAGTTTATTTATATAGCGCCAAATTCACAACACATGTCATCTCAAGGCACTTTACAGTTCAACCAGATCATCCAGTCAAATTGATACAAAGTTTTCTATCTAAGGAAAACCAGTTGATTGCATTGACTCATTGACTCAAATACAATCCCCCACACTAAGCATGCTTGTAGCGACAGTGGAGAGGAAAAACTCCCTTTTAACAGGAAGAAACCTCCAGCAGAACCAGGCTCAGTGTGAGCGGCCATCTGCCGAGGCCGACTGGGGTTCAAGGAGACAGAAGCAGAGATACAAAAAGCAGCTGTAAAAGGCAGCCCCGTCCAGGAAACACACAGCCAGGCAGACGAGCTCCAAGGCAGCTCCCATGCCAGAGGACGAAGAGAGCACATCCAGCCAGTCACGGTCAGAGAAACAGGACCACTCTGGAAAACAGGCAGATCTCCAACATCTATTAACAAGGGTGTTGATAGAAGCAGCACAGCTGATGTTTTTTCCAGGATGACGTCACAGCCAAACAGGAACAGACGAGGCAAAGCTACTCTGAGGAAAAGCAGAGAGAGCAGAAGGTTAGAGATTGAACTAACAGATTCTGCAGAATAGGAGAACAGAGAGAGAATGAAGCAGAATGATGAAATGGGGGTCCCTATGTCCTCCAAAAGTCTAAGCCTATAGCAGCATAACTATAGAGATAGCTCAGGATAACCCGAGCCACCCTAACTATAAGCTTTATCAAAAATGAAAGTTTTAAGCCTAGCCTTAAAAGTAGACAGGGTGTCTGCCTCACGGACTAAAACTGGTAGTTGGTTCCACAGGAGAGGAGCCTGATAACTAAAAGATCTGCCTCCCATTCTACTTTTAGAAATTCTAGGAACCACTAGTAAACCTGCAGATTGAGAGCGAAGTGCTCTGTTAGGAACATAAGGAACAATCAGATCTCTGATATAAGATGGAGCTTGGCCATTTAAGGCTTTATATGTGAGAAGGAGAATTTTAAATTCTATTCTTGATTTAACAGGAATCCAATGAAGAGAAGCCAGGATAGGAGAGATATGATCTCTCTTTTTCATTTTCATTAGAACTCTGGCTGCAGCATTTTGGATCAGCTGAAGGCTTTTAACTACAGTTTGTGGACTTCCTGATAGTAAAGAATTACAATAGTCCAGCCTTGAAGTAACAAATGCATGGACTAGTTTCTCAGCATCACCCCTGGACAGGATATTTCTAATTTTTGCAATGTTCCTCAGATGAAAGAAGGAAATTCTAGAAACCTCTTTGATATGGGATTTAAATGACAGGTCCTGATCAAAAATAACACCAAGATTTTTTACTTTATTATCTGAAATCAGTTTAATCCCATCTAAATGAAGTGACTGGCTAATCAGTTTCTTTTTCAGAGACTCTGGTCCAAAGACTATAACTTCTGTTTTGTCTGCATTCAGAAGCAGAAAGTTAAGAGTCATCCAGGTTTTTATGTCTTCAAGACATGCCTGTAATCTATGTAATGGGTTAGCTTCATCTGGATTATAGACAGATATAGCTGGGTATCATCAGCATAACAGTGGAAATTAATCCCATGCTGTCTAATAATTCTACCAATTGGGAGCATGTATAAAGTAAAGAGAATTGGTCCTAGCACTGATCCCTGTGGTACTCCACAGGTAACCTTTGAGCGTGTTGAAGATCTATCATTAACATGAACAAACTGAATTCGATCAGATAGATAAGATTTAAACCAGTCTAGTGCTGTTCCTTTAATTCCAACAAAATATTCAAGTCTTTCTAAAAGAATATTATGGTCAACTGTATCAAATGCAGCACTAAGATCCAACAGGACGAGCACAGATACAAGTCCATTATCTGAGGCCATGAGAATATCATTAGTGACTTTCACCAGAGCTGTTTCAGTGCTATGATGAGCTCTAAAGCCAGACTGAAACTCTTCAAAAAGTTCATTATGGTGGAAGTGATCGCAGACTTGTTTGGCAACTACTTTCTCAAGAATTTTGGATAAGAAAGGAAGATTGGATATAGGTCTATAATTGACCAAGTCATCTGGGTCAAGAGACGGTTTCTTAAGCAGAGGTTTAATTACAGCAATCTTAAAAGCTTTAGGTACATATCCCTGTAACAGAGATAGATTAATCACATCTAAAATGGAGGAGGAGATCAAAGGGAATACCTCCTTAAATAACCTGGTTGGAACTGGATCTAACATACAAGTTGAAGGCTTAGATGAAGACAATAATTTTGCTAATTCAGAGAGTTCAACTGGATCAAAGCAGTCTAAACCCGGTTCAGATTCCATGACTACCTCAGGTACAATCGCGGATAGAGGAGTGCTTATGATCTTATTTTTAATAAGATCAATCTTATTTATAAAGAATCCCATAAAATCATTGCTGCTAAGAGCAGGTGGAATGGACGGTTCAACAGAGCTATGGCTCTGGGTGAGTTTGGCAACTGTATTAAAAAGAAATCTAGGATTATTCTTATTCTCCTCTATTAATGAGGAGAAGTATGCTGCTCTTGCTTTACAAAGGGTCCTCTTATACAGCAGTAAACCATTTTTCCAGACTAGGAAGGACTCTCGCAGGCCTGTGGAGCGATATTTTCTCTCCAGTTTCCTAGCATTTTGCTTCAAAGTACGCAGCTCTGCATTAAACCAAGGAGCAAGCTTTCTATTTTTAACGGTTTTCATTTTCAAAGGAGCTGCGTTGTCTAAGGCAATACGCAGAGAACTAGCAACCCCATCAACAAAATCATCAACCTGTGAAGGGGAATAAGCTAAGCTTTTGCACTCTGCAGCACTGCTCAGTGACACAGAGCAGAGAGAAAGTGAAGCAGATTCTTTAAAATTTATAACTGCACTATCTGATAAAGATCTACTAAAATTGAACCTTCTTTTGGGGGAGGAGAACTCTGTTAAAGTAATCCTGAAGGTTATTAGAAAGTGGTCAGAGAGGACAGGGTTGTGAGGAAATACTGTTATTTCTTCACATTCTATGCCGTATGTCAGCACAAGATCCAAAGTATGAAGATGAGAATGCGTGGGACTATTCACATTTTGAACAAAGCCAATAGTGTCTAAGATAGCATTAAAGGCTGCTCTTAAGCTATCGCCTTCAATGTCAGCATGGATGTTAAAATCTCCCACTATGATGACCCTGTCAGCATTTAATACCAAATCAGAAAGGAACTCTGAAAACTCATCTAAAAATTAAGAGTAAGGACCTGGTGGACGATACAAAGTTACAAAAAGAAGAGGTTTTCTTGCCTTGAAATTTGGATCAGGGAAATTAAGGGTTAAATGTTTAAAAGAGTTGTAGGTATTAATTGTTTTGGGAGTAATCAGTAAGTCAGACTGGAAGATTGTTGCTACTCCTCCTCCTCGCCCAGAACTTCTGGGGATGTGAAAATTTAAATAGCTTGAAGGAGTTGCCTCATTTATGCTCACATAATCCTCTTGCTGCAGCCAGGTTTCTGTAAGGCAAAACAAGTCAATGTGATTATCACAAATCAAGTCATTAACTAGTAGACTTTTAGAGGAAAGCGATCTTATGTTAAACAGACCGCATTTAATTGTTTTAACTTTTTCCCCAATTGGAGTTATTTTGATTTTAATTAGATTATCATGATTTACTCCTTTGGGAATCTTTGCTAATTTATTAGATTTTGGTCGTGGGCAAGACACTGTCTGGATGGAGTAAAGAGTGGGTAACAGTAGAGAAGCTGCAGAGATGTGTGTTAAACTACAACTCTGCTTCCTGGTCTGCACCCTGGGTGGTCAGGGTTTTGGAGGACTAATAAATGTGGCCAGATTCCTAGAAAGAAGAGCTGCACCATCCAAAGTGGGATGGATGCCGTCTCTCCGAATCAGACCAGGCTTTCCCCAAAAGGATTGCCAATTATTAATGTAGCCCACGTTGTTTTCAGGGCACCACCTAGACAACCAGCGGTTGAATGACGACATGTGGCTAAACATGTCATCACTGGTCAGATCAGGGAGGGGACCAGAGAAAATTACGGAGTCCGACATTTTTTTGGCAAACTTACACACCGAAGCAACACTAATTTTAGTGACCTCCGATCGGCGTAACCGGGTGTCATTACCACCAGCGTGAATAACAATCTTTCTGTATTTAACCTTATCCTTAGCCAGTAGTTTCAGGTAGGATTTGATGTCGCCCGTTCTGGCCCCCGGCAAACATTTGACTATGGTCCCTGGTGTCTCTAATGCCACGTTTCTGACTATGGAGCTGCCAATCACCAGAGTGGGCTTCTCAGTGGGTGTGTCACTGAGTGGGGAAAACCGGTTAGAAACGTGAACGGGTTGGTGGTGACCAGTGGGCAGAGATCCACGACTACGCTTTCTGCGAACAGTTACCCAATCGCCTGGCTGCTCAGGCACTTTTGGAGGACAGCTACGTGGGGGGCCTACTTCAACAGCCTGAAGCCTGGATTCTAACTCTGACACCCTCGCCTCCAAAGCTACAAAAATACTACACTTATTACACATCCCATTATCACTAAAGGAGGCAGAGGAATAACTGAACATCTGACACAGAGAGCAGGAGAGAGGAGAGGAAGAAGGAAGAGTTGGAAAAGAGTCAAGGGAGGGAGAGAGAGAAGCCATAGCAATGCTAAGCTAGCGCTAGCCTAGGCTAGCTACTTCTTGCTATCAGAAATAAAACCGTGTGAAACTGACAAGTGCTCAGTAGAAAAGTGCAGCAGAAGGTGCTATGTTTTAAAGTAGTCAGTTAGAGTTACTTAGATACAGAGATATCACAGAGAAAATAACTTAACTTCAGATGGAGATCCTCTGAACAGCTGCACACTCAGTTGCACACTCAGTTAATCCAAACAGGAAGTGAACACGATTGTGGTCCTTGTTACACACTCAGATGGAAGAAAGCCTGAAAATATTCTGAGGGTTTTGGATAAAACAAGAATCAAATGTGCAAAAAAAGAGAACCAGGCTATTCACTTTAAGTTCAATAACTACCAGAAGGAAGACCAAGCAGAAGATTCTGAATATCTGAAGAGTCTTAACAATATATCAGAGAGGTTTCTTTGAATTTAAAAAGTTTCAGGCTTCCTCCCAAGAGGAGGAAGCCTGAAAGACTCGGCAGGCCCAAACGTGTAGTGAGAGTCTGCTGGGAACGTCTGGTGGAGCCCTCGGTCAGAGACGTGTTCAACTCCCACCTCCGGGAGAGCTTCTCTCAGGTTCCGAGGGAGGTTGGAGACATGGAGTCCGAATGGGCTGTGTTCTCTGCCTCTATTGTCGATGCGGCTGCCCGTAGCTGTGGCCGTAAGGGTTGCGGTGCCTGTCGTGGTGGCAATCCCCGAACCCGGTGGTGGACACCGATAGTAAGGGATGCCGTCAAGCTGAAGAAGGAGTCCTATCAAGCCTGGCTGGCTTGTGGGACTCCTGAAGCAGCAAGCAGGTACTGTGAGGCCAAACGTGTCGCGGCCCGGGCGGTTGCAGAGGCAAAATCTCGGGCCTGGGAGGAGTTCGGAGAGGCCATGGAAAAAGACTATCGGTTGGCCTCAAAGCGATTCTGGCAAACCGTCCGGCGCCTCCGGAGGGGAAAGCAGTGCTTCACTAACACTGTTTTTAGTGGGTGTGGGGAGCTGCTGACCTTGAAGGAGGATATTGTCGGGCGGTGGAAGGAATACTTTGAGGATCTCCTCAACCCGACAGACATGCCTTCCGTGGGGGAAGAAGAGACGAGGTGCTTGGGGCTGGGTTCGTCCATCACCCGGGCTGAAGTCACCGAGGTAGTCAAAAAACTCCACGGTGGCAAGGCTTCGGGGGTGGATGAGATCCGTCCTGAGTATCTCAGAGCTCTGGATGTTGTCGGGCTGTCATGGTTGACACGTCTCTTCAACATCGCGTGGAGGTCGAGGACAGTTCCCCTGGATTGGCAGACTGGGGTGGTGGTTCCCCTCCACAAGAAGGGGGACCGGAGGGTGTGTTCCAACTATCGGGGAATCACACTTCTCAGCCTCCCCGGAAAGGCCTATGCCAGGGTGCTGGAGAGGAGAGTCCGGCTGATTGTCGAACCTCGGCTGCAGGAGGAGCAGTGTGGTTTTCGTCCTGGCCGTGGAACGGTGGACCAGCTCTACACCCTCTGCAGGGTGCTTGAGGGTTCATGGGAGTTTGCCCAACCAGTCCACATGTGTTTTGTGGACTTGGAGAAGGCATTGAACCGTGTCCCTCGTGCTGCCCTGTGGGGGGTGCTCCAGGAGTATGGAGTCGGGGGCCCTTTATTAGGGGCCATCCGTTCTCTGTACAAGCGGAGCAGGAGTCTGGTTCGCATTGCCGGCATTAAGTCGGACCTGTTCCCGGTGCATGTTGGACTCCGACAGGGCTGCCCTCTGTCACCGGTCCTGTTCATAACTTTTATGGACAGGATTTCTAGGCGCAGCCAAAGACCGGAGGGGGTCTGGTTTGGGGAACAGCGGATCTCGTCCCTGCTTTTTGCGGATGACGTAGTTCTGCTGGCTCCCTCCTGCCAAGACCTACAGCGTGCGCTGGGGCGGTTCGCAGCCGAGTGTGAAGCGGCTGGGATGAGAATCAGCTCCTCCAAATCCGAGGCCATGGTTCTGGACCGGAAAAAGGTGGCATGTCCCCTTCGGGTTGGAGGGGAGTCCTTGCCTCAAGTGGAGGAGTTCAAGTATCTTGGGGTCCTGTTCACGAGTGAGGGAAGAATGGAGCGGGAGATCGATAGACGGATCGGTGCGGCTGCTGCAATAATGCGGACGCTGCACCGGTCTGTCGTGGTGAAGAGAGAGCTGAGCGAAAAGGCAAAGCTCTCAATTTACCGGTCGGTCTACGTTCCTACCCTCACCTATGGTCATGAAATTTGGATCATGGCCGAAAGAACGAGATCCCGGATACAAGCGGCTGAAATGAGCTTTCTCCGCAGGGTGGCTGGGCTCTCCCTTAGAGATAGGGTGAGGAGCTCGGTCATTCGGGAGAGGCTCAGTGTAGAGCCGGTTCTCCTCCACATCGAGAGGAGTCAGTTGAGGTGGTTCGGACATCTTCTTCGGATGCCCCCTGGACGCCTCCCTCGGGAGGTGTTCCAGGCATGTCCCACCGGGTGGAGGCCCAGGGGACGGCCCAGGACACGCTTGAGAGACTATGTCTCTCGGCTGGCCTGGGAGCGCCTAGGGCTTCCCCCAACAGAGCTGGAGGAGGTGTCTGCGGAGAGGGAAGTCTTGGAGTCTCTGCTTAGTCTGCTGCCCCCGCGACCCGGTTCCGGATAAAGCGGGAGACGACGAGTATGAGTACGAGTATTTAGACCTCAAACGTGAGTAAGAGGTTTAATTGTGTAAAATCCTGTGAAGCTTTTATTAGGCACTGTAGCTATGCATTTTTTTTGTAGAGTCACGAATCTGCAAAACAAGCCCTAATCTTTTCCATTATTGGCTCTCTCAGAATTACATCTGATATTTGGAGCCAAATGCTGTTCCTGCCTAAACCTGTAAATATATTGTGATTTTTTTTTTTCTATTCTACTGTGTACCATTTTTATGTCTCACATAAAGTTCTAATTAGAAATGATAGTAGGAATAAATAAAAGCAAAGTGTAAATCAATTTATATGTAACATATGTACCTAAATAAAAAACAAAAAAACAATTAAAATAAACACGTGGTAGTATTTTATTTTTCTTACTATTAGTTTACTTTGTTATGTGTTAAAATCTTATGTAAGCAATAAAGTCAAAAGAGCTGCCTGGGACAGAATACCCTTTGACAAAGGACACAGCAAATGAAATGGCTGCATGTTTAGAGGTGCAGGTAGAGGGAACTAAACTTTACATTTATTACATGTATTGTTACCCCCAAAGATAAAAATAAAATTTTTGTTTCTACTGATTTTTCATATCATTTAAACTGTGGGATCCTCCAGTAATTTAAAGGTTGGTGGTAGTAGGGGGGCTCGAATTTGTCCCCGATCTTGATTGCTGCCAATACCTTCAATTTCCAGACCTACTCTTTTATTTATTTTTCATTTGATGAGCTTCTACCACTTTTTAAATCAGTAGATAAGAATAGTCTTAGAATAAAATAGTCTCTTCCATTTTCTGGTCTTTCAAAAAAAAAAAAAAATTGTACATTTCTTTTCTCATGTGCTTAAGTTAATTTCTTAAAGATGGTATTTTAATTTTTGAAGTATTGCATCAAACCTTTGACCATGCAGTTGATACTTTTTGATATTTTCAGTTGAATTTTTAGAATAGATTGTTATTAAACTAAGCTTTTTTCATTCATAAAGTGAAAAACAAAATGCTTTTTAACAGTGATTATAATCAAAAAACAAATATAAAAAGGGATTTAAGAAGTGACTCCTTTCTTACAGGAAAAATAATCGGACTTCAAAAAATACCATCAACAAGACTTTGATCTCGTCAGGATCTCCTAAAGTCTACCAGGTGAAAACTAAGAAAGAAAAGTTTGAGAATTTGACTAGAGTGACTTTAGGAGACAAAAATGAGAACCAAATAAATCAAACCATTTTACTTGTTGGTGAAACAGGAGCAGGAAAATCTACCCTGGTTAACACTTTGGTGAACTATGCTATAGGAGTGAAGTCTGAGGATAAAGAATGGAATCTGATTGTTGATGAAGAGGAGGAAGGAAGTACTCAAACACAAACTCAGACATCAGATGTGATCGTCTATCAGATCTTTGGTTTTGAAGGTCAATCTCTTCCGTTCTCTCTGACCATCATCGATACTCCTGGATTTGGAGACAGCGGAGGCTTGGAAAGAGATGACTCTGTCAGCCGAAGATTGTTGGCCTTGTTCAGATCAGAAGATGGAGTTCATGAGATCAATGCAGTGGGTCTGGTGATGAAGGCCACTGATAACAGACTGAGTGACCGATTGATGTACGTCTTAAATTCAGTGACGTCTCTGTTTGGAAAAGACCTGGAGGAAAACATAGTAGCTCTCATCACTCACTCTGATGGAAGAAAACCTAAAAATGCTCTTCAGGCTCTGGAAGCAGCAAATATTAAATCTTCTAAAGATGATTTTATTTACTTTTTGTTTGATAACTGTCAGCATGAAGACAGAACAAATGACACCGAATTTCTCAAATATTCTTATCAAACATTAATAAAAGAAACAAAAAACGTCATGATTTATCTCCAAAAAACCAAACCTCAGCCTCTGAAAACAACTGTGGAGGTTCTGAAAGAACGGATCAGACTGACAGCCTGTATCCAGAACCTGCACCAAATAATCAAGCTGGCTGAACTGAAGCAGAGAGAAATCAAACAGATTGAAGCAGAGCATATTAAACATGAAGAAGAGATGAAAGAGAATGAGAACTTTACTATAGAAGTTGATGAGGTCTACAAAGAAAAAGAACCAATCCATGGAGGAATGTGGTTGTTGGTGTTTTATGAAGGAGCCGTCACCTGTTCTGTCTGTGAGGAGAACTGTCACTATCCAGGATGCACAATAGCTGGTACCCAGAACAATGTGAGGTCATGAAGAGGGGGCACTGCACAGTCTGTACCAACAAGTGTCCTGCAGCAGTTCATGTGAAAGAAAACTGGAGATATAAAATAAAGACAAGAAAACTTCAGAAGACCCTGGAGGATATGAAGGACAAATAAGAGAACACTGCAAAAACAATCCAGAAATAAGTAAAAAAATTCTTAAATTAAGTATATTTACCCTTAATTTGAGCAGGTAAATAAGATGATCTGCCAATGGAATGAGTATTTTTACTCTTAAAATAAGATAGTTAGATAATATTTACTTGAAATAAGACGATAAAATAGTTTTTTCTTATTTTAAAAGGAAATTGTCTTGTTCCATTGGCAAAGTGTCTTACTTACGTCCTCAATTCAAGGAAAAATTCACTTATTTTAAGAAAAAATAACTTATTGAGGTTTCTATTTTTTGCAGTGCAATAAAGCAGAATATGAGACAAAGTTCAGTCTCTTGGAAAAGCTTAAGAATGAAACCATTAATCTTAAAACAGAGCAGTCATCGTTGCTGGATGAGGCCTACAGTCGTATTAGCAGATTGGAGAACATTGCCCTAAAGTTTGAATCAGTGTCAACTTTGGTCCATTTGGATTTCCTGATGGAGAAGATGAGGGAAAAAGCAGACAGGGACAAAGTCAAGAAACTTGAGGAAATGGAAAGCAGATTGAACAAAGGGACCAACGCAGCACTCAGATATGCAAAAAGCTAAGCAGAATAGAAATTGGTATTGTTATTGGAAAAAAATTCTAAATCTTATATCAAAGACTAATTAGATCATTGTTTTTCATTTAAGCAGCATTTATTAGTCCTTGCAAGGGATAACATACATTCTTTATGTCTCTGCCAATTCCAAAAAAAGTTAAAAAACAAACCACTGGACTTTTTTTCCAAGTTTGAAGAGGTTTTGCTTACCTACCCACCGACCGACAGACCAACCGACTGACCTACCTACCCATATAACTTTTTAACTTTGACAGTAGAGACAAAAAATGGCATTGCTGTCACTAGTATCAGTGTTAATAAGGACCTTTACTCATATATCCATCAGCTCCAAAGCTGCATCTGAAAGCATCTGCAACTTAAGCTCCAGTGAACTCCAAAGAGTATGCTGTAGTCCAAGCAGTATTCAATCACGTTAGGTGTGAATGTAGTATTATTTGGCTTTGCTGTGTTACACTTACTTCCTAATTTAAACACTGCCCACATGTGCAGTATCTTACCTCCTTTGTTATTGCAAATAACTATAAATAAATGAATGGCTTTATTTACTAACAAAGTACCCAGAAAAAAGTGTAAAACACAGCAAAAACCCGATTTTTTCCAATCAGACCCAGGCCACTTGGCTATGTGGTCCTGAATCCAATACGAATTGGATCTTTTCAAAAGCGACCTGTGTCTGAACGTTCAGGTCAGATTCATTACGGACGTCATTAATACCCGATAAAGGTCACTATTCTGCGTCTTGCTACAAAGAAGCGGCATGAAAAACAACAACCATGGCAGATGATGATGCGGAGAGCAGTATTTATGTTTAACCATCTTGAAAAGATTGAGTTTTTATGGTTGGAAAGATCGCTAGATGCGCGCCGGCGCTACCATCCATGTTTACTTCCAGAAATAACGAGCATGCTGGCCTGTGACGTCATTGCGTCCTCTACTGTGCATGCGGGACACTTGCGTTGTATGACTGCAGGTCACCCAGGAGATCACATACAAGTAGCATATATTTGGAAATATGAACGCCAACCTAAAAAAAATCGGATTTCACAAAAAAAATGGAAGTGATATTCAAGGCCTGCAGTGGAAACGTAGCCATAGCTACTAGTTTCTTCTCCCAAAAAGTAACTGAGTTATTAACTGAGTTACTCCACAATTAAAGTAACTAGTTACTAGTAAATGTTTTTTGCTATTTCTGAAAAAAATTTCAGATTTCTAAAGTCATGGGATTTAAATTTTAATCTCGAATCAGTAACAACAGATAGTTTTAAGGGTATTGTCATGACCATGAACATGACAAAATAAAGTGAAATACAGCAAGCCTTCGTCCTGAGAGTGTTATGATTGTCCTTTTTAAGCCTAAACAGAATTCCTGCTCCAGGTGCAAAGAGCAGACATAAACAGACGTGTGTGCAAACTGCTGGCAGTACCTTAGCACTATCAGAAAAGCAGGTGGCGACAATTGACACAGCTATTTGATAGAGTCTAACCGTGCTGCAATGCCTTACTTTAAAGAAACAGATCAGTGTTGTCCAGGGCAAATCAATATTAATTACAGAAACCGATCAACAGTAGGTACTAGTGAATCCTCCCCTGCCCCCCATGGCCTCCTATTAGAACATCAAGGAAAAAGAAAATTCCTATTCCACACAAAAGCAAACAGCATCAAGATAAGAAATATACAAATTAAAATAAAGAAAAGTGTTGGCCAAAACCTTTTTATTGGAAAGAATCCCAATTAAACAAATTAAAATGCCATTTCCCCACTAATTGTTGATGAGACCTAAACTGAGTCTATCTAGAGAAAGCGTAGAGTCTTGAGTAGTCTTTAGGATTTAAGCAGCTGTAATAAAATAAAAAAGAAATCAATTTATTATGTTGTTTGAACTTAGTAGAGATGGAAAACAGCCTTGCTATTACCTATATAGAAAAGTATTAACGAGATAGTTTACTCACGCATCCATCTACTCTGCAGCCACATCTGAAAGGCTCTGCAGCTTTGGCTCCCACTTTAGTGAACAGCAAGATTCAGACTGTATTTCTAGCACTATTTAAGTCTAACACTTCTTGGGATAAATTATCTCTTGAAGGTAATCTAACAAGAAAAGTAAAAAGTAATTCTAAAGGTAATTTCTTTTTTACAGGACAAATAACCTGACCTCTCAAAATACCATCACCAAGACTTTTTTCTCCTCAGGAACTCCTGAACTCAAGCAGCTGGAAACAAAGAAAAAAAGTTTGAAAATTTTATTAGAGTGACTTTAGGAGACAAAAATGAGAACCAAACCAATAAAACCATCTTACTCGTTGGTGAAACAGGAGCAGGAAAATCTACCCTGATCAACACTCTGGTAAATTACGCCGTGGGGGTGAAGTTTGAGGATGAAGTCTGGTTTCAAATTGTTGAAGATCCGAAGGGAATATGTCAAACAGAAAGTCAGACATCAGAGGTGATCGTCTATCAGATCTTTGGTTTTGAAGGTCAAACTTTGCCGTTCTCTCTGACCATCATCGATACTCCTGGATTTGGAGACACCAGAGGGATCGAACATGATAAAATAGTCTGTCAACAATTATTACAGCTGTTTCAGTCAAAGGATGGAGTTCATGAGATCAATGCAGTGGGTCTGGTGATTAAGGCCACTGATAACCGACTGAGTGACCGATTGATGTACGTCTTCGATTCAGTGACTTCTCTTTTTGGAAAAGACCTGGAGGAAAACATAGTAGCTCTCATCACTCATTCTGATGGAAGAAAACCCAGAAATGCTCTTCAGGCTCTGAAAGCAGCAAATGTTAAATCTTCTAAAGATGATTTTATTTACTTTTTGTTTAATAACTGTCAGCATGAAGACAGAACAAATGACACAGAATTTCTCAAATATGCTTATCAAATATCGATAAAACAAACAAAAAACTTTATGATTTATCTCCAAAAAACCAAACCTCAGCCTCTGAAAACAACTGTGGAGGTTCTGAATGAACGGATCAGACTGACGGCCTGTATCCAGAACCTGCACGAAAGATTTAAGCTGAATGAGCTGAAGCAGAGAGAAATCAAACAGATTGAAGCAGAGTATACTAAACATGAAAAAGAGATGAAGGAGAACGAGAACTTTACTATAGAAGTTGATGAGGCCTACAAAGACAAAGAAAAAATCGATGGTGGAATGTGGGATTTGGGGTTTTATGAAGGAGCTCTCACCTGTTCTGTCTGTAAGGAGAACTGTCACTATCCAGGATGCAAAATGGCCTCGAAACCAGAACACTGTGAGGTCATGAAGGATGGGCGCTGCACAGTTTGTACCAACAAGTGTCCTGCTTCAATTCATGTAAAAGAGAGCTGTGTATATTTCATAACGACCAGAAAAGTTCAGAAGACCCTGGAGGATATGAAGGACAAATATGAGAACAATAAAGCAGAATGTGAGAAAAAGTTCAGTCTCTTGGAAAAGCTTGAGAATGAAGCCATTATTATTAAAACAGAGCAGTCATTGTTGCTAGAAGAGGCCTACAGTCATGTTATTAGACTGGAGCAGATCGCCCTAAAAGTTGAGTCAGTGTCAACTTTGGTCTATTTGGATTTCCTGATGGAGAAGATGAAGGAAAAAGGAGACCAGGAGAAAGTCAATAAGCTGGAGGAGATAAGGAAGCAGGTTAAGAAATGAACCAATGCAGCACATAGATAACCAAATACTCATCAACAGAATAAGATTTGTTGCATAGATGTATCAGTCAATCAATTGATCGATCGATTGATCAGTACATTTTCACAACTTCAGTTTTCTTTATTCAAACATCACCTCTCTGGAAAAGACCAAAACGCTTTCAAAGGACACCAAGAAAAGGGTATAGTAATTGCTGTGCATTAAGGACAAAAAAGTTAAGATTCCATCAGCAAGAAGCCTAGACTGGCCATTAATATATTTGTCATCATGCAGAAAGCCAGATAGAAGTTTTTTGGTCAGTAAAGTTTCTCACTACTTTGCCAAACCGACTGTGCAACATTGCAGTGCAGTTAAACATCTTTTTTGATCTCTTGCAGGGTACAGCAGAAAAATAATTGTCCTAAAAAAAGAAACTACTTATAATTTGTAGGACTAAAAATGTTCTGTAATGCAGAATGGGGATCAGATGCAGGGGACAAAAGGAGCACAACTGGGAATTGTGTTATATTAAATAACGTGAATTCTTCGAACTCATAGAAGACAAAGAAATAACCACCACTGTCATTATAAACCTGTGAGGCAGGAGAGCCCAATGAACAGGTGAAGATGTGAGCATAGCAACGTCATGCATTACTTTATCGAAGAGGTGTGAACATAGGAAGAAATGATATAAAAAAAATAAGTACGGTACAACTGAAAAAATGCTTACAGATTTATTGACACACCTCTCTACCAAGTTGAAACTGAAGAGATTTTCTCAATACATTTTGTACATAAATATACAGAGACATTTGTTTTATTTAGATAAGATAAAAATGGAAATCCATATTAATTAATTGGGTTACAAAAGGTTTGGGATGTTAGACTTTGCTGTTATTTATACTTTTATGGAAAGCCTATGTTCCACTACTGCCAACTACTGTAGAATTATTGTATTTTTTTGTTTCTGGAGTTTTCAAATAAAAACGCCTCAAAAAGGCTAAACAGATCCAAGGACTCATCATTTGTCAGTCTCGCTGACAGTGTCAACTCCTTTGTGCAAGATCTAGATGAACACATTATCTTGTGTTTAGGGAGAATTAGCATACTTGAAACTGTATACAGAATTGCTAGAACCTGTAGCATGTAATATGTGTTTCTTCCCAACCACACCATTGCTGGAAGCATGGCAATTATATCCACTGGTATAAAAAGTTACAATTGTCACAAATACCTTGACAGCTCCTACTCTATGACATATTTTTCAATCTTTTTACTCTATCTGTGCCCTGTTTAAAGTTGGATAGAAAAAATGTTGAGGTCAAATGCTGATCTAGAATTAGACTGCTGGAGGACATAGGTACCACTTTTTATCATCTCTATTCTCCGTCTCTGCAGTATTTGTTACTTCAACCTCTAACTAACACAAGCTACTGCCTGGTAAGTCCTTCATTCTCTGTAAAAGGAGCACCTTAACCTACTAATGCAGTTGGAGAGCAGCTTAAGTTGTTGATGACTGTGAGAAAAAACTTAATTTCCAATAGGAGAGGTTTCAGCCCAGAGAGCTACTCAGACAGCAAGGGAACATCAACCCAAAGTTGATTTAACTCTATTGAACCGCTGATCAGTCAATTACCGACAACTGAACCAACATCCTTTATGCGACCTATATATTGGCAACATCTTCGGCTGAGAATGGAACCTCTATCTAGCGTTGGTTTCTCATTGGAAGCGTTTATTTGAAAACAAAGGGATAACATGTTGAATGGGATTCCTACTGACAGAGCACCGCCGGTATGTGGGTGTCTGAGCGGCTCCGACAGAAATAATATTGGAAGGAAGGATGGTAATCTGAATGAACTGACTGCAATGATAAGTTTTCAGGTGGACTTTCTCACTTAAAAATATTAAAACTACTTTATTCCCACTGATCACAGCAATATAGCTGCAAGGCAAAGAAAGCATAGGGTAGCTCCGCCCAACGCGCGTCAGACCCACTTTCCACCGCACGGCTGAACCTCCTGCTGCATCCGGTGTGAACGTAACATGAGACAGCTGAATGGAATGAGTAATTAAGCCAGTCATCAGTGCCAAGATCATGACTAACGCAGCAAAATGACATAGAGCAGATCGTGCGGGACAGGAAGTCTTGTGAAGAAACACAATAAAACAGCTGGTTAATTTTGAAAATAATAATACGTTACTTGCCCTCTCTAATTCAATCAAAAAGCTTGATTAAATTAGCATATTTTTCTTGGTTGTTTAATACACTGCTCAAAAAAATTAAAGGAACACTTTGAAAACACATCAGATCTCAATGGGGAACAAATCATGCTGTTTATTTATACTGATATGGACTGGGTGATGTGTAAGGAACAAAAAGATGGCACATCATTTGATGGAATTGAAATTATCAACCTACAGAGGGCTGAATTCAAAGATACCCCGGAAATTACAGGGAAAAAATGATGCGGCAGGCTAGTCCATTTTGCTGAAATTTTACTGCAGGATGTCAAAATGGTAATAGGTAATTTGTATGGCCCCCACGTGCGTGTATGCATGCCTGACAACCTGGCGGCGTCGAAACATAATGTCCCAGGGGTGTTCTATTGGATTTAGGTCAGGTGAGCGTGGGGGCCAATCCATGGTATCAATTCCTTCATCCTCCAGGAACTGCCTGCATACTCTCGCCACATGAGGCCGGGCATTGTCATGCACCAGGAGGAACCAGAAGCCTACAGAACTTAGTATCATCTGCGTATGATTACAGAGATGCAATCCTAAGGCCACCAAAACAGATCCCCTCAACACCCCCCCCAACGACTCCAACAATGCGGACCAGGCTCTGACACCGATCATACAGAGACCTAACGCCTGAAAACCCACAGATACGAGAATTTTCGTCAGCCTCCAGTCCCCCAACCATACTTCACAACTCATGAATCCCTTTTCAGATGTAAAAGCCCCATCAGCGCTGTGGCTGGAGAAACATTCCACCCCCTTCAGTTTCGGTTTTAGCTAAAGTCTCTCTCTTTGAGACTGTTTTACCTGAGAGCGGGGGGGGGGGATCGCGCAGCGATCAGATGATAACTGATCTGTACAATGAAAATAGCTGCATGAGCTGGAACGCTGTAGAAAGCAACAATATTTTTACAATAATGACCATTATTTATTTGGGGGAAAATATAACTCAGGCGTTCTCTCCTTACTCTCGCCTCTCTCGTCCGCTGCATATATGCTGACAGCATTGTGAAACTGCAGTAAAGTTGGCAATATATTCACAGATTCAGCTTTTCCGGATTAATAACTCATCTGCGGATGATTTATTCTACAAAACAGACCCCTCTCTTCAACCAGACTAAAGGCCTATACATACCTCACGTTTGGCCTGCACGTCCGTATTTCTGTCCGTACGTTCTATCCGTTGACTCCTTCATACCTCCGTCCGTTGAGGTGCGCAATAACCCGTATTTCCTCTAGGTGGCAGTGCTGAGCGCCAATGATTCGTCATTGATCAAAACATGGCGATGGTCCAAGACCTGATTCTGTTGCATTCTAACCTTCTTTGTGATTTTGTTGACATTTTGTACTAAAAACTCAATAGCGCCCCCACCGTTTCCGGTAGTATTGCTCCGTATTGATCCGTTTCGTCCGTAAGCGTAAGCTCCCAATTTTTGTCAAAGTACGGGCGAAATCGACGGTTAGAACGTATGAAACACTCCACACGTATCCGTATCCGTCTTTTACGTGAGGTATGAATGGGCCTTAAGGCAGACAGTGATCTACAACCGTAGTTTCCTAAAAACGAGTCTCCTATCGCGCTGGTAGATTTACATTGGACCCTATGGGGAGCTCACGGCTCCGCAAATGCTCTGTCTGCAAGTTGCAAAATAATCAGAGAGAAATATTCAAAAGCGTCACCAAGGAGAGGTGGATTATTATCACATTTATTGGATTTGAAAATATTACTTTTCTGAGGAATTTCCAAAAGCCTAAATGACAAATGGCACCTCTATTCTATTATTAGAATAAGTATAAAATGAGCAATGACTACACTATAGATCACTGTACTGCCTTCAAACTTGTAGGATCAACAGACAACTTCATCTGGATCATACTACAACTCTTACTTTGGGAAGATAGGCCAAACTTTATTTTTGCTTTGTGCTGTTTTTTTTAAAGTGATGAGGCTGTGAGACAGTTTGTCTTTAAAAGGGCGATTTCTCAATTTATTATACACCTGATGAGAACCACAAAAAGAAAACAACAGTGTTATAGGCTGCTCGCTCCAAGTCCTACACAAAACAGAACAAAAATTAACTTAATAGTACTATAAATAAACTGGATGTATTGAGATGAAAAATAAATAGCTCACACCTCTCCCACAGGACAACATGACAAAAGGGGAGGGTCTAAGGGGTGCAAACAATTCAAAGACAATACCTCAGAAGAAGAAGAAAAAAAATAGGGGCTTCCACTCTTAAAGTAACACAGTTAAAACAATGACAGATTTTCCAGAGGTGTTTCAGTCAGGTGAGTAACAAGACAAAAACCAAATTAAAACATGTTTAATTATAACAAAAGAGAAATACAACCAGGTTAAACTCTGATAATCCTTGAATTTTTGGACAGTAGTTCAACTTTTATTTTGTTATTTGAGGTCAATTTATTATTTCATTCTGAGCCCTTGTTTATTTTACATTTCATTTAATATTGTGTAATTTTGCTTTGTTTCCTGTTTGGTTGGAATCCCGTCTTTTAGACGTTGAAGATCTGGTAGCTGCATTAGTTTAAGATAAAGTCAGCAAACTTCTCTAAAACAGACATTTGACAAATAACATCACACACACTGATTAAAAATTAATGATTTAGATTTGGATGCGTTTAGTTCTTGTTTCTTCTAGACATGTTTGGCCTACGTATATAAAATCTATTTCCTACGAGACAGGGCTACCTGGCACGTCAGGTTGTGATGCAGAGGGAGCCTGACCAAGCATCCAAATGTGACGAGCTGGGAGTGA